TTATTTTATTTATTTTTACGCAGATAGATTTATTTGGGTTTGCAAGGGAATTATTTCAGAAAGTGACCAACAGTGCTCCTTCTACTTGCGTGACAGGCTTTCATTGTTGTTTTCATTGAAGTATTACCATAGAGGTAACTCTAATACCCCGTTCACATTACAGCGTATATCACGTGATATACGCTGCCTTGCAATGAGCACTCATACATCTAGTTTTCACTGGAAATCCTATGTATGAGTGTTCATTGCAAGACAGCCTATATTACGTGATATAGGCTGTAATGTGAACGGGGTATAAGACTAGTAGGTCCCGAAAAAATGTGCTCAACTTTTTAACTCAGCTCTGGTACCATCTTCGGTCCCAAGGTAATCGATGCACCCCTCGAAACATAGGAAAATCCACGAACCCCTCATTTTATCTGTCAGTCTTTTATAGCGAATCAAAACAAACATTGTGTAGTACTAGAATTTCGAATGGAATGAGGTACGTTAATCGATTTGCTTGGGACCAATAGGCTAGTCAAGTAGTGAGCCAATGATCTGGCAAGTCGCGTTCTCACTCGCGTTGACAGGGTGCTGTTTTCTCTCTCATCGAAGGAAATTTTGATTAGAGTAAGAAAATAAGGAACAGTCAGAACATTTCAAATGTAAGTACGTCAAATCAAATTTCGAACCGTTCCGTCGGTCACTTCGTTTGTGCTAGGAACGGCTGTGTGCTGATTTAAAATAGATGCACATAGAATCAACATTTACCATTTGATGACAAAATTAAGAACAACTCTCACATTGACAATGTCATCAAGAAAATTGTCAAGAAGTATCGTTTGAAAAATTATTTAACTATTTGCAGTAAAATACAGCTATACAAATCAATCATCTCTCCTCATCTGGACTTTTGCCCTTCCATTTTATTTTTAACCAATGAAACACAAATCAAGGTTCTAAGGCCGTTCGCAATGCTGTTGTATTTTATAAGGACTGTTTCAATTTGAAACTAGAACAGAAACGCACCTCTCGCAATGCTGAGTTGCAGTTTCATTATTCGAGCACTATTTTGTACCAGATTTGCAACAGATCGACTATTGTGTTTTATTTCTGAGCGAGTTTGAAACACGAATGGAACTCTGTTTCAAATTTCTTTGGATGTGTTTAAAGATGTTTCGAAGAGCTTCACAAACAAAAAAACGTAGAACTTCATAGAGACCAGTAAAGTTTATGGATTTTAATTATTACAAACATCTTTTAGAACTGTGCGTTGCGCTGATCGTGTTACAGTTTTATTTTTGACAGTTTTAAATTATAGAATTGTCGAGTAGTTTAAAACAATTTTGAAACTCAGGCTGTGTTCCATTTGGTGAATTTTTACTTAAATTTGACAGATGGAAAATTTTCAAATAAACCTGCTATTGTACCAGACTTATTTCTGACAGACCAGGAATAAACCTTCTTGAAAATTAGATGATCAACAATTGAGGGATTTTCGAACATTATTATTTATTTTCGAAATGTCAAATGTAAGTGAAAATTCACCAAATGGAACACAGCTTTAACATTGCGAACGGACTAAGACTGTGTTCTATAGAGAGCTGCACCGTCGGGTTAACCTCACTTTTTTTGACATCTAACAGTGGTTTGTTTCCATGGACTTAGAAAAAAATTTAAAAAATTTATTAAATGTTTTTTTTTTTAGATTTTTTGGAAAGAAATATTTTTCAAACGAACATAGTCGGATATTCGGTCGGATATCATATTTTTTAATTATTTTTAGTTAAATCCACTTGCATCGACTAACAAGTAAAGGTAAACAAACCACCACTGGATGTCAAACTGATGAATGCGGGTTCATCGCGTTCATTCGTGACGTCAGCGTGCAGCATCCTATTTGATGAATTCAGGCATAACATTTGATAACGGCACAAAAGCATTTGTAAACAAACTTTCTACGGCCCTTTACACGCGAACCAAAGTACGCCCACTCAAACCAACAACATCATCGGATAGGGGCAACTATCACCTTTCCGAAAGTGGTATTGCTTTGCGTAGGCGTACTTTGGTTCGCGTGTAAAGGGCCTTAGAAAGTTTGTTTACAAATGCTTTTGTGCTGTTATCAAATGTTATGCCTGAATTTTTACTTAATTTGACAGATGGACAGCTTTCAAATAAACTTGCTATTCGAGCAGACTTATTTCTGACAGACAAGGAATCAATTTTAACAGACACGTTCTCGGAAATCGGCCCATCAACAACGGAATGATCTTCGAACATCTTAATTTATGTTCGAAATGTCAAATTTAAGTGATCGATTCTCTTTATCGACTTTCTCTTTCGTTAATGAGCAGTTCCAGGACAAATAACGGAAAAATAAACAAATTTTAGATTTTATCGCTCAGAATTCAATGAAATTTCGCGTAATTGTTCGCAAGGGCAATGAGCCAAGTTTGTGTTGCCATTTTGACTCAAACCCTAGCTCAAACCTATTTTTCAAAATGGCGTTTTCGATATTTTTCAATAAATCATAGCACGAAATCGGCTCATCTCATCGTAATGACGTCTGAGACAAAGTTGTAAGAAAGTGGATTGCCTTTAAGAAAAAAAATACACACTGAAAAAAAAATTACAAATTTTAAATTTTCTAAAAAAAAAAACATAAAATCTTCAATTACACAAAAGTGTATTTTAAGAATTTTAAACTTATTTTTGTTTGCAAATTTTTCTCAATGGACACTTCAAAGACCAAAATTGTGGAGCATAAACTTTTAGTAAAAATTTTGAAAAGTATTTTTCACGCATTTTTTTAGACACATCAAAAGTGCAAGAACACTTCAAGAGCAAATTTTCATTACGTCGAATGTAACAAAGGTAAACAAAGTCGAGCTATCAGTGTCAATCGATTCTCCTGCTATTACACTATATACTGTCCGAATATAGGATCAAATCCCATTTTTAAATTTATTTGCCAGTCAAATTGCTTTTTGACGTAATCACCTTCCGATCAAAATAGTTTTCGATGTTACTTAAGTCAGCCAATTTCTATGGAGATGCCGTTTGACTTAAGTAACAGCGCTGAGAAACCCGTGATAAGTGTACGTTCGTCGTTTCGCTTTCTCATTATTAAAGTAAATAAATCGAACTGTTTGTTGCTAAGATAATTTCGGTAGTCCTAAATTGATGAATGGGCTGCACGTAAGGAGACGTAATTGATAATTCTCCCGAATATCCTGGTAAATACACTTTGACTTAAGTAACAATAGGGGCCACCAAACGACGTATAATAACTTTTGACTCAAAAACCAGTATTTTTTAGCATGAAAGCTAGCGATTTGCATTTGTATGATTAGAACCCTGCTAAATATGTTAAACATTGCTATCACTATGAGATTATATGTGTTTACTTGGAAATAGGAATAACTTTTCGGTCATCAAAACAAAACTTTATTTTTCTCGGATTGGTGCGAATGTTACTTACGACATAATGAAAATTTGCTCTTGACTTACAGAAATTAAGAGAGACACCGCATTTCACACGTTAAAACTGTATTTTGAGAAGTTATCAAGTGGACTTTTTTGTAATTAATTATCGTACCACTACAAAGACTATTTCGTTCGTCACGATGATGGATTTTTAATATAATAAAAAAAAAGTAGTTTTGTGTAGTCTACAAAGGTTTGAGCCTCGCGCGAGTATTGCGGATATGAAGGGCTGAATTTAAAATTTGTTGAAAACATAATTCAAAGCCTTGAATTAGTAGTAAGTTTTTTGGCTGAATGTTTGAGGTTCCTGACAATGCTGATAATTATGATAGCATCATATTGCGGGGTTGCTACTGAAAAGGGATGCTTGTTAACCCTTAAATGCATAGTGTTGGCATTTGGCAATATACAGCTGTGTTCAATAAAATAGCAGCGCATGCCGATTTTCATACAAAATGGTCAACTTTGACATGATGTAACTTTGTTAACTTATGATCAATTGAGCTGAAACATTCGCCAAAGAACTACAAATATGATAACAATAACATTTACGATAACAAAATATTGAATTTTTGGAAGCACCTGCCGGAAAGTGAGACACTAGGTGAAATTGCTCAAAATAATAACAGTTTATTTGAAAATTTACGTGCTGCAAATATTTTAAACATTTTTAATTATTATTTAAATTTGTTAATTTGGGGATTGTTAGAATTTTGAGAAATGTAAAATTTAAAATCTCAAAATTAAGCTGAAATGAAAATTATTATTACTGCTATTATTTTGAACAATTTTACCTGTTGTCTAACTTTCCAGCAGGTGCTTCCAAAAATTTAATATTTTGTCGATTACAAAAATAAAAATAAAAAAATTGAACATATTTGTAGTTCTTTGGCGAACGTTTCAGCTCAATGAATCATAAGTTAACAAGTTTTGTATGAAAATCGGCATGCGCTGCTATTTTATTGAACACAGCTGTACCTTTGTTTGTTTTTAAACATGGTAATAGTAAGCGCAATATATATCACAAGAAAAAAAAATTACCGCAAAATAAAAAATCATGCATTTAAGGGTTTACCTGAGCTTTTTCACATTTATATCGCTGTGAAGCAATTGTAAATTGTAGATGCAGTTCGTCTAGTTTGCGACTCTGGTTAAGTCAATATACTTAATTATCTTAAAGATAAATCGTCCAGTTCAAACCTTTGTAGGGTAAAGAGGTGGGACCAGCATCATCGTGAATGTGAGAAGGTGGTGAATTTGGGTGAAACCAGTAAGAGTAGTAAGAGACGTCACTAGTGTATCTTCGTCGATACTGAGGAATGGAGGATTGCAACGCTGGAAACAAAGAGGAATCGAAGTTGAACTGAACGTTCTGGCTCAGGCCTTTACGAAGTTTGCCAATACTCTGACACTGCAAATAAATCACTAGAAAAAAATAAAAACTCTTGCCACAGTGGAACCAGGGATGTGATATTCAGAGATACCATTCGTCACATCTCAATCACTTACATTAATTTACTAACATTACAGAGGAAACATAAAAGCACAAATAATATACTAGAAATTCAGTGGCAATCTCGAAATGTACAGACCCTCCTATACAAGATGAGTAGGTGAATAAGTAAGTGCCTTACCTCGAACGACTGTCCGTATGAATGCCCCACCGGAAAACAAATACCCATTTAGCGATGACGTACCTTCTTGTTCGAACTGTTCTTCTTCACCGAACCCACGTTCGCTGCCTTGTGCTTAGCGGTACTGCTCGGAGTGCTCGATTCTTTCACCGAGCTGGTGTTGGCTTCTTTGGAAGGTGTAACAGGCCGATTCAGGAAGGACGACGACTTCTCGATGGTGCTCTTCGACGAATTCAACCCTTTACTGGCCGGTGTTTTCAAAGACGACGACGTATCGTGAGTCGAAGTGAGTGACGAGTTGGAATTGATGGCACCGATTTGGTTATCGCTCGAGTCATCATTAGTCATCGAATCCGATTCACTGTGACGATCATGCTTGACATCGTTCGGATCAACCAATCCGCTTACGGCCTGAAAATACGAGTTTGATCATTATTGCAACAATAAAAATGGAACTTCTGCGCGGCTTACAGCCATCGAAGTGATGGACGATTTGGAGAACAGTCGTTCTGCTTCCTTGAACTTGCGGTTCCGTTTGTCCGCTTTCGAGTTGGTCGTTTTGTTCGTTGTCAGGTAGCGATCCCATCCTCGAATGATGTTCCCATACAGCTGCGTATCCTCCAGGTAGGATCCTTCGAATGCATAGATTTGCCGCTCGAGATTTGCAAGGGTTTCCTGAAAAAAAGAAATCGGCTTGTTAGACCGAAAACATTCTAGCGTCTCGTCTTAAATTGTTGGAGCCTCCGGGGAGAGTGCGTTCCGTTTAATGAACCTACCGATATCTCTGCTTTCCTTTTCACCAATTCTGCAAGTTCTGCCCTTGTGTCTAAACTGTTTGATGATTTTGTACTCATTTTTACTAGAGTTGGCGGAGAATTTTATAATAAAAGCTGATTAAAGTATGTTTTTGTGGGGGAAAATTTCCTCTTGTCGATAGAGTGTGATTGTTTTGATTCATTTCAGTGACAGCGAGAAGGAAGTGAACAACTTCGGGCCAAAGTGCGGTTGTCAATCGTTGGTAGCATACACTGTCATTGGAAAGTTCACATTAATGGGTGAAAAAGTGTCCATTCGATGTAAGTACACTCTGATATATTAATACTCGTCGATAGTTTACAATTGACCACTTTGTCAAGCAGTTTTGGCGCGATTTCACAAAACTGGACCAACTAATTTCAATTTTTTTATGGAACGCACAAATGTTGGCTACTTTTCTCGTGATTGTAGAAGAAAAAATCGAAATACTAATGTTATATTTCAAAGTTCGAGTGGTAGTAAACGTCATTTTAACTGCTCGAATGAAGTGGTTAATTAAATCATTCTTGACATTCACGAGGTTTACACAGAGCATAGTGTAAAAAGTATACTAGCTTCAGTATAAACTTTAAACTAAATCCGATTTGTGCGAGAATATTTTGGCCAGTGTATTTTTTAGTAAAAAAAATAAGCACCGTGCCAATGCATTTTCGGACCGATAAATCTTACATTGGTTTATAAACTGAACATCGAAAGATTTAATATCTAACAAGTTTAAAAGGGTGATCCGCAAAGGACTTCCTTCGTATGGGAATGGCTCTTTTAAACAAAGTCATATATATCAATTCTCTCGGTTTTCTTCACATATATTCTCGTTTTCACACAAACCGTATCTTCCATACAAAAAAAGTGTTTTTAAATGGAAAATACGGTTCGAACGAAATTAAGAATACAGGGGTTAATACCTGAGTGATTATCATATTTATGATCCTTTTGACAACCAAAACCAACCTGGGAGCGTGGAAATCGTTTCTGGAATAAACCATCATTAAACTATACGCATGTATATTCAAAAGATATACTATACTCCACTGATAAAATTTCGAAGATTGTTTTTATGTGTCCTTTTTGCAATGTGATCAACAAATGATATCTATGTGTCGGGCACATATTTAATATGTGTACACATCAAAGCCATGAGTAACCATATATGCTATTCATTTGACTCATAAATTTCATGTGTGTTTCTGGGTGGATTCTGTTTATGTGTAGTCACATGAAAATCATGTGAAATTTTACATGGAAATTCGTCAATAAAAATGTGTGGAATTCTATTAGTGTCCTACACAGAAAAAAATGTAATATCGATCAACGTAATTCAAGCTGATGTATGAAATAATGATGTAATAGCAAAAAGCAGATACAATATAACATCAATGGATATAGTTTTGTTCGCAAAATCGATGTACATCGTAAAATGTGATATTACACAACCGATGGATTGACCTGGTTGCAGCAGTTTCGATGTAATATTCAACAAAGTTTTTTGCTCGGTAGGGGTAAGACGGCTGTAATCAGAATTATGCAGCGGACACACTTGGATGACAAACTACACACCAAATTTAAATCGCTGGAAATCAGCAAAATTTTGCTGATTTTAAACTTGACGAAACATCAGCAAACGTTTCAGCAAAATAATGCTGCTGAATTTTTCAGCAATTCCAACTTCTGTCAAAATGACAACCTTTTACTAAAAATCAGCAATATTTCTTTACTGATCTTTCCGCAATTCAAAATTCTGACATTTGGCAGCATTTTGTTGATTAAACTATTAAATTCAGTAAAATGAATTTGTTTTCACTATACGAGCTTCCAGCTCGGCTTCCAGCTTCTGTAAAAGATCGTCGATACAAATATACGAATAATAAAGATAAAATCGCCAGACTGTTTTCCAAGTAGCATTTATTAAATATAACCAGTGTCCGAGCCTGTCTCCTTACCTACATAATTTTATTTATTTGCAGTTTTTTTTACCTCTTCCTCCTCCTGCGGTTTGACCGGTGGTGTACGAATGCAAAAAAATCTTGCGACTGTGATGCTAACAGTTTGACAGCTTTTTGACTGGGTGTTAGCATAGAGGTGTTGGTGTTAGTTTATGTAAGCTGATTTTTTTCGGTAAAATATCGTTTTTTGTTTTTTAGTAAAGCATTGGATTGCTGATCATGATCCAGTAATTCGTTTTACTGATAATAAAAACTCAAATTTGGTGTGTATGAGCATATGCATTATTTGTATAATAAACTATAAGCACATTAATGGTCACACTTGTATAGTTTGTGTATAGTTGTTGTATAGTGCTCATAATTATTATACAAATAATGCTCATGCTCATAGTAGGTCAAGCAAGTGTATCCGGGGTATTAATATTTTCACAGAGAGTAAATTTAAGTTACTCATATTTACTGAAAAGTGATCAAAGCAGTCTCATAATTCATTCATAAATTAAAAATTAGATCAGTATAAACATTATCTGTCAGAGTGTCGGAGTGATCCTATCCGTATTTTATTTTGTATTCTTACTCTAATATGCGTGGTGGGACAATAAAAGTTGAAAATCAGAAAAAAATATTTCTGATATATGATCCCGAGAAGCGAACCCGTTATTTTGCGTGTTTTATGGTGGCTAGTCACTTCGAATGTATGGGGATGGTAGGAAACCATATAGAAATGCATGAAAATTTTCAGTTTTTATTCATTATCGTCTTTATGGGCAGTTTTAGATGTACAAAAAGTGCACGAGTACATTACTATGGTGATAAGGTAAACACTCGTTTATTTGTTTCCTTCTGTGAAAGCATGTTTCGTCACAAATCGTGGATTTTCTGATATTCTCCATACTGCAAATATGATTTTCCTACCACTCAAGGGGCGACATCTCTCGGATCTTCAGTATACACAGCAAAAAAAGTTGTTGAATATTACATCGAAACTGCTGCAACCAGGTCAATCCATCAGTTGTGTAATATCACATTGTACGATGTACATCGATTTTGCGAACAAAATTACATCCATTGATGTAATATTGTATCTGCGTTTTGCTATTACATCATTATTTCATACATCAGCTTGAATTACGTTGATCGATATTACTTTTTTTTTTTGCTGTGTAGGTACTACTCAAATCATATAATTAATTGTTAATTTAAGCATCTTATAAAAACAAGTTAAAATGAGTTGCCAATTCTAGTTTTAATTGTTCTGATAGAGCAGTAAATTTACATATGTGACTAGATCTTTCCATCACTCCCAGTTTAAACTTAGTGAAAAGCTATATAACAGTAAAAAAAGGTTATCTTCCATTTAATTCCACTTAATTAATTTTAGTATCCATGATCCATTATGATGGCTACCAATATTTTTAAATAAATTTACTAGCCGATATTTGCTACATGGACAAACAATTTTAATTATTTGAACAATTTTACCAGCAGCAATTTTAATATTTATTGCTTTCACCTCGGCTTTCCCTTCATTACGTTTTAATAGCTGAAATTAATTCACCTTTAATTACTTTAAAAGCTATTGGTCAGCAATGTTCAGTATCATTGAATGAATGAATATTCTAATTTCTTAAACTTAGAATTTGATTCATATATAATTCCAATAAATGAATTAGATATAAATTTATCATTATGATTCATCAGTGTCATTTCCACCAAAGACTTATCAAAAACCTAACAACTTCCTTAAGTACTCAGTACAGTAAGGTAAAAATGTCAAGATCATAGATTACTAGGAATTAAATGGAAAATAACATTTTTTGTTACATTCAAAGTGTTTTTATGTTACTTCGTACGCGAAGTTAGCGATTTTCAGAGTTGGTTGGAAATGCTAACATGAAGCTTTAGTGTGATAATTTATTAGCTAGAGAGTGATCTTAAGAATAGAGTAGGTGGACCTGAATAGAAATTTACATTAGCCCAACGTTTGATTCTGATGTCTACATCAGCATCGAAATCAAATGTATGACTAATGTCAAACATAAGAAAACATTATGATTTAGTTGTATTTAAGCAACGTAACATCGATAGTTCCGTTAGAGTACGGCAGTATGAAAATTGAATAGAAGTTTAAAATGATCGAAGAGCCATTAATGCGACAGTTTTTTTTTAAAGTCAGACGCACATCTTTGCCTAACCCGTACGATGTACGCGGAGACTTGAAGTATGTCTTCAAGTCTACAGACAAAAAATGTGCATCCTACTTTTGCTCATAAACTGACTGCGACTGTGGAATAGTTCTAGCGACGTTTCATCACTCATCTCCCACGTTGCGAGAGCATTTCCAGTCGATGGTGTGTTATAATGCAATTCTTCTTTACCCAACTATTGTGCTGCTCCTATCGTCATGACCAACTTGGTCATCTCAGAGAGAAGGCAGTAGGGTGGTTGTTGCGTGCTGTACCCGAGGCTGTACCATCATCAGCCCCCCCCCCCCTTTTGTTGTTGTTTTATTTAGGCATTCCGCTAACAACCCAATTACATTACTTCATTAGTGGAAAGGGTTTATTATTAAGAGCGAAATTAAGAGCTCAAGTTATGGTTGTGAATTTCACGTAGTTGTTAATCCCTCCACAAAATCACATGAAAAAATTATATAAAATTTATGTGATCGCAAAAATGTTATGTGAACCCTAATAAAAAATAACCATAAACGAACGATAACCCAAATCATTGAACTATTCCACAAATGGTTTGGATGATACCCAGAACACGTCGTTAAGCAAATTAACCATACAATTTTTATTAGGGAAATTCAGATGAATTCCATTTATTTTAATTATGGATGAAAATCATGTGAGTTTCCACTGAAAGTTACATGAAAACTATTTTCGGTGTTTGAGTGGCTACCAACAACGGTGCTACCAAATAAACTGTCATCGCTGGTCTTTTGTGCTGCGATCGAACGCACACTCTCTCAAACCCGTTGCCTTTTTGATTCGATTTTCCCATTTTTCTCCATTTTCTTGCGATTTTCATTTCCAAAACCGTGCTTCACTCGAACGGATCGTTTTGTGTTTGCCGTTGCTGGCGCAGTTGAACCCAACAGTCATCAGTCAGTGTAGTTTTTGTTGCTGATGGTCGTTCGTCGTGGATGGTTTGGTGTGTGTCTGCGTGTGTTATTTCGTTGAACTGAACTGGCAAGCAGGCAGCCAGCAAAAGAAGTCTGTCTGTGCAGCCATATTTTTCTCGCATAATATTTAAAAGTGAACGCGTAGTAGGTGGAATCGAGTCAAATTTTGGAATTTCAATCGCGGGTTCCTGTTTCAAGTGCATTACCTTTCGGTTGATTGATAGAATCGATTTTGAGGGTTCGAATTTTGGTGACCTAGTGCGGAAATCGGGAAAGAGAAATTGGCTGCAGCTGAAATTGTGCGTGAAATTTTCTCGGATCTTGCCTTTCTTCTTTTGCTTCGACCTCCTCTTGTTGCTGGTTGTGTGTGGTGCATTTTCTGTAATCGCCTGCGCTCCGCCACCGAATAGGAATCAATCGGAAAGGAGAAAAAGAGTGCGTTTGTGTGTCTTGCTGCTGTCTGAGCCAGCGCTAATGGTGGAATAAGGATTTTCGTCTCCATTGTGTAGAACAAATTCAAGCTGCGAGTGCCATAAAGTGCTTATTCGGAAGAAAAGGTTCAAGCAAGTAAAATAAGCATTGTAAAAAATTCTGCTGGTGAAAAATGTGGCAACTCAGCAGAAGTGTTTGGTCATTGTCGCAGCAGTAGTCTCTGCCTGCAAAAGGAGTGTGCTCAACGACGGAGGAGGCCATTGCGTTGTCGAGACGACGACGGCGACGGTGACGACGAAATTGTCGAAGACTACGACGGGAGTGGATAAAAGAAGCAGCAGGAACGACGGAATTGTATCAGCTCCCCGTTGCAGCAGGAAGAAGCAGGGAAAAAGCTCCGTTCGTGATATAAAAAAAGAGTGCAGAAAAGAAAGCATTTTCGGGTTTTATTCGCGTGTGGGAAGAAGTGGAAACAGGAACAGGAAAAACGAGCTGAACAGGCACCGACACGGATCCAAGATAGAGAAAAATACTGTTTATTATTTTGACACACGAAAAGGCGAAAAGTCACCCAAGTGTTCAAGACGTGTGTGGACGACATTTCAAAATCGTGTAGTGTTTTATAATCTTGTCTCAACTCGTTTTTCCACATTTGAAGTCATCAGAAATTAAGTGTCTCTCTTTGCTAATGTTAAGTATTGTTCCAATAGATTCCAGCAGTAAACTAATTATAAACAGATTGTAAAAGACTTGAATCCTCTTAAAAATTCATACGACGGAAGACTGACAACCTTAAACCAACCGAATAAAAAAAAATACTAAACAGCACCGCAAGATGGCCTGTGCAACATTGAAACGTTCACTAGACTGGGAAAGTCTTAATCAGCGGCCAACGAAGCGCCGGAGGTGCCATCCATTTGGCAGCCCCAGCACCAGTAACGCCCAAAACAGCCCATCGTCCTCTTCCTCATCCTCGAGCAGTGCAATGCGTGTGATGGAACCGAAGCCTTCTCCATTTGCTGAAGCCGTCTGCCCAAAGTTGACCCCAGGTGAGTTGAGTTCATGTGTAGTGTTTTAATAGCTAGCCAGTAGGTACATGTATTTCCCCCATGTTCATCCTTTTCGGTTCCCCGCTACGTCACACCACATGGTTCCCGTATTCAGTCTCTTCCTTCCATCGAGCTAACATTTATTTTGCGCAAGCACACATGCAACGGTTATACGGACGGTTCCATGTCGTCGTCGCAGCTTTAAGTTTTTACCCAAATATGTTTTCATTCTGGTCAGTGTTGCTAGCTGACGGGAGTGCACATTTTCTGTAACCGTTTGGGAATGCATGACCGTCTCCAGAAAACCCTCTACTGATTTAATAACTTATAAGATATTGATGATGGGTAATGCGGGTTCGGCGAAATCATCGATCGGCACGCACGTGCAAGGAAAAAAGTAAAATCATATCGCCCAACTTTTCAAGCAAGCAATTAGAAGTCAAAATAGCACACTATCGTCGTCTGGCGAGAGAATTCTAAACTGAGCTGTTCACCATTCTTGTCCGTTTGAATGTTTTAAGTCAAGGAGCAAGTCCACGCCAACAGACGATTCGATTTTATTTCACCCCCTCCGAATTCCATGAAAATTTGCATAATTCTCGCGTCACTTTTCAAATAGACCAATGTAACATATCCACCATTTTGAAAAAATCGAAATTGAAGTTCGACAGATTATTATTTTAACTGTTTAAAAACAATACATTTTGCAATACTATTTTTAATGTAGTCAGTGTATAATAACGTTGAAAATTCAGAAGAAACGGTAAAATCACAATTTTACTTTGAATTTCATGCTACAATATAGAAAAAACCACATAGGACGTTTTGACAAGTCGAGTTGTACATCGGACATGTTACATTGGACGATTTTTCTCAATGACATAATCAATGAGTGTTACATTGGACGTTTTGCCTACATCATACTAGATTCCCTTTCACAGATTTCAAAGTATAGTACACTGGAGTCGCTTTTTATGCGTTTTTTTCTTACACGGTCTTTTTTTACTCGGTTTTTTTTTACGCGGATTTCGGAATTTACGCGGTTTTTTTTTACGCGGATTCCGGAATTTACGCGGTTTTTTTTACGCGGTTTTTTTTTACGCGGGACATATCACCCGCGTAAAAAGCGACTCCAGTGTACCTAACTTTAGATTGGCCCCGCCTTTGGAAAATGAGCACCAATCATGTTAGGCAGTCCGAATGACCGAAGTAACAATCATGGATCCATTATTTCAAACTGTACATTGGACAATTTTTGATCAATGATTATCTTAAATAAATAAAAGTAAATTTGGATGGATGTTTTTGTATCAAATACAATGACAGAAGAGCAATAGTTTGTATCGCTTAACTCGATTTGTTTACATTTGTTACATTGGTCTATTTGAAAAGTGACGCGAGAATTGTTCACTAGGGAGCATGATTGACCGTCCGCGAATGCTACTCCTTTACTGCCAGGTCAGGACTCATAAAATCGGAATGATGTCTAAGACAAAGTTTTTGAAAACTAAATAGCCTTTGAAAAAAAAAAATTCCACTAACAAAAAGTGCATTTTTAAGATGTTAGCTTTTCAAAGCTTATCAAAAATGCTACCTTTTCTGATATTGGACACAATGTACACTTTGAAATTAACTAAAATCGTAGAACATCAATATTTAGTTAACATTTTGAACTGCTGTCATGATTACCTGAGATTTGTCAAATAATGTAAATATTATTGTTATTGTCCATCTGAACAATTCTAGATATCGCTGGAATTAGGGCCTAACAGGTTTTGTAAACAATGACTTCTCTTGGTGATTTCTAGAAATTCAAGGCTCGCCCACGCAAACCAACATTCTCATCCGGTAGGGAAAGACTTCCCCTACCGAGAGATGGGCGGAGTAAACAAAATACAATTCGGCAGCAGGGATTTGTACCTTATATATCTTGCTAGAAGCTAGCATTTCACATGACTTTTACTTTTCATTCGATTTACGTACAAAATAATAATTGAGTGCATCGCAATATTTTGCACATTTCTTGGTGCCATTAATTAATCAACTAAGATCAATTAATCAATAGAGTTAGAATATTGTTTTTGATTCCAAAAATTAGTTCATTTTAAGAAGGACACGAAACATAAATGTGATTAATTTTTTTTGATTGCAATACTCTTAAATTTAATGTAGTAAGAATATGAAATCTTAGGAAATATCGAAGGCAACATATCAAGAAGACTGGTTTCTCTTCCATTTTCTCATACGTCCGCTATAAGGCAGGTACAATCGCGTCATCTGACGCTCAAAGGTAAATGCTTCGAGCGATTTTGATAGCAAAGGTTCATCCATCCTACTGTGTCTGTCGCTTGGATTCAGGCAAAGTTGCCAGTCTTGTTGTCTTCGGAAAAATTCTAATGCACGGCGAATGAGAACGACTCAAATTTGAGTTTAGTTCACTCATAATCGCCAAAAGTGCAGGAACTCAGCGATGAGTAAAATTTGTCTCATGGTTTCCTGTGGAAAACCTAAAAAATCTGCCGGAAAATGAGGAAATTGACGAAAATTTTATTCAGTCTCGGAGTAGTACATATAGATTATTATTATTATTTAGCTTTATTTAGGAGGCTTTCAGCCTTAGGCTGGTTCGCCTCCAATAGTACCAATAGACTGAGTGAATCCAATCTTTACTTTTCTCAAATTCGGGATTTTTTCCCTGGAAAAACCTGGGAAAACATGAGGCAAATTAACTCATCGCTGAGTTCCTGCACTTTTGGTGATTATGAGTGAACTAAACTCAAATTTGAGTCGTTCTCATTCGCCGTGTGGGAATGTTCGATTGGCTCAGATTTTAACAGTTCATTTGGCTCAAAGCATCTCTCCCTCTGAGTATTTCTAGTTTACTTCTGTGCGGATTTGCTAGCACTAGTTTACTAGCCAACTAGCACGATTACCAGTTGCTTCTGATATCTCATGCTGGTAGACGCTGATGTCCTGTTTTGTACAGTGCTAGTACACTAGCGCAAGTAATTTGAAATCAAAAAGCGTACTAGCGAGGCCTGGCGAGTGAATTCTAAACTGAAGAACTCTAGATAAATCCACAGAAAACAGACATAACACATTGAATATTTCTCACTATAAAACATCGTCGCTAAAACATTACCGTCATCTGTTGAGTACACTGTGGTGGGCACTACGCTGAACTGATGGCGGTAGTGTGTAAACGTCAAATGCAAGGGAATTGACTATGCGCGCCTACAACAGGTGGTGGCACTACCAACTACGGTACTTTAAAATTGTCCGTTAAATTCTTGTACGATGAACAACTTGCGAGTTTTATGTCTGTTTGTCTGTGATAAATCTGTCACAAATGTTAACAAACTGAGGTTAATGCATCGCATTATACTACTATTAAATGCTACAAAACGATATAATTTTGAAAGAAGTTTAGTAAGCTCCGAAAATTGGAGGAATTTCAGAAAACTACTGGGAAATTTAAAGCAGGTCCCAGATTTTCAGATAACTTCAGAGACGTTAAAAAGTTAATTGAGGTCTTCGTATAAGTTCAGAAGTTCATTGAAGCCTAAACATTTTTAGGACGCAGCGCATTACATTTACAACAAGCTTCATGAAAACTGCAAAAACTTTGAAGAAGTTTTTTTTTTTCAATTTCAGAAAAGAACAGATAACCTCAGAGCAGCTCCGTTAACATTAGAGAATTCACATACATTTGAAGTTTAGAGAACTTCAGCGAATTGTTAAACTTTAAGAGGAGATCCATGATCGTTAGAAAAATTGAGGAAGCTTTAGGAAGTCCTATAAAGTTCAGGGAAGTTTAAGAATTTGATGAGACGTATTGTGAGCATCAGGCTAGTTTCTCAAACTACAAAAGCTCTTCAAGGCAGTTTGATTAACTTTAGGAAAAAATTGAGAACTTTCAAGTAGTTCTGAAGACCTCAGATCTCAGAATAGTCCCTTCCATATTCAACGGAGATTTCCATTGAAATATTCCTCAAAGTATCAATGAAGCTATCCACCGAATTCAATTTTCTTTTAGTTTTCCCCGAAATTACCTTGAAATTCTCCACAATAAGAAACCCTTTAGAAAGATTCTCCGAATATTCATTGAATTCATTTCACATTTCCTTTTGAATCTCACTCATTCCCTTGGAATTCACAGTGAAAGAATTCATTGGCATTTCTTCTCACAAATTCTTTAGATTTATTCTTATAATTTGTTTAACAAACTCTCCTAAATTTATTTTCCGAATTCTTTTGAAGACGTCCTGGAGTTATTCTCAGATTCAATTGTAATCCTCCTTTTAGTATTTTCAAAAATAAAATCCAAGGTCTTATGCTCCGGATTTGTTTTCTCCCACAAACTTTATGAAATTATCCTCAGAATGCCCTTGGAATTATCCTCTGATGTTCACAGGAGTTGTGCTCCTCAGAAATTCCTAAGAGTATTAATTAAGATTAACTTTTAATTCAATTCAGGGTTTTTTTTCAACTTCAACGTCGTCACTAAAATCACTATTTTGGACAGCAGTGATCCCTACCAGCCCTGCATATTTGAATCATTCAAAATAGCTTAAAATGTGTTTCAATTGTTTTAACAACTATCATAGAAACAGTACTAATAATCATTTAAAGTAAGAGGAAAAGCCGTAATTCTTTCCGATTCTACTTAAGTGGCCTTCTCCTGCTTCTTCTTCTTCTACTTTGAATTTCAAGCATGTTGTTTATCGCATATAAGCGTATTGTGTGCTCTCAACTTAGTGTCCATCTACGTCCATAGTTATGAATTGAGAACTTTCGATGCTAGTACCATTTTTGCATTAGTATAAATGTGTGGCAAGTACAATCATATTCTATGCCCAGGGAAGACGAGAAATTTTCCAACCCGAAAAATTCCTAGACCGGACCGGGAATCGAACCCAGTTACCTCCAGCATGGTCTGATGAGCTTTGGTCCATAGATGCCCTCCTTGAGCAGTTCCAGGCAAAATAACTAAAATAAAT